ATTGGAAAAATCGCAATATTAAAAATTGAGGAACTTGAAAATCGAAAAAGTGTAAAATCGAAATAATGAAAACAAAAGAAAACGGAAAATCAGATGACTGTAGCTCCAAAAATTGTTAAACTGAAAAATGGCCAAAACGAAAACTTATTAAATTAAAAAAGTTATTAAATCGGAAGAAACACTGAAAAAATAATGGTTATGAAAAATCCATAAACTGTAATATAAAATCGAGAAAATGAAGAACCGAAAAACTATGAAAGAAAAATTCAAACAATAAAGGAAATGAAAAAATGAAAAATTGTGATATAAAATCGAAGAAACATAAAGTAAAAACTGTAAAAAACGACCTATAAAAAAATCCAGAACCTGAAACACTGCAAAACTGAAAAAATCGATAAATTGAAAATTTTAGAAGACGACAAACTGAAAAATTGAATAAAATAAAAAATCGCAAAAGTGCAAAATCGTAAAAAACGGAAAATGTATTGTAAAATTTAAATATTGAAAATTAAAGAAATCTGAAAATCCGAAAACTGGAACTCCAAAAACTGCAAAATCGAAAAATCAAAAATAATTAAAGAAATAAAAAACGAAAAATTGTCATACAAATCGGGAAAACCAAAATTAAAAAAAATTGGGAAAGTGAAAATTAAAAACCAAAAACCTGATACATTCAAAAATCGAAAAATGAAAAATTGTAAAATCGAAAGTTGTAAAATTGAAAAATTGCAAATCAAAAAACTGAAGAATTTGGAAGTCGAGAAATTGGAAAATCGAAAAAATTATCCACTTTAAAAATTGGAAAATCAAGCAATTGAAAAATCAAGAATTGAAAATTTGAAAATGAATAAACGAAAAACTATAAAAGAAAAATTGAAAAAATAAATGAAATGAAAAAACGAAAAAGTGTGATATAAAATCGAAGAAAAATAATCTAAACACTGGAAAAAATGAATCAAGAACTTGAAAAACTGCAAAACTGAAAAAATCGATAAATCTAAAAATTTGGAAGTCGACAAACTGAAAAATGAAATAAAATAAAAAATCGAAAAAGTGTAAAATCGTAAAAAACGGAAAACGTATTGTAAAATCTAAATATTGAAAATTAAAGAAATCTGGAAATCCGAAAACTGGAACTCCAAAAATTGCAAAATCGAAAAATCAAAAAAAAAAATTAAAGAAATAAAAACGAAAAATTTCGATACACATCGAGAAAATCAAAATTAAAAAAAATGGGAAAGTGAAAAATTAAAATCAAAAACCTGAAACATTCAAAAATCAAAAGTTGTAAAATTGAAAAACTGCTAATCGAAAAACTGAAGAATTCGGAAGTCGAGAAATTGGAAAATCGAAAAAATGATCCGCTTTAAAGATTGGAAAATCAAGCAACTGAAAAATCAAACACTGAAAATTTGAAAATGAATACACGAAAAACTATAAAAGAAAAATAGAAAAAATAAAGGAAGTGAAAAAACGAAAAATGGTGATATAAAATCTAAAAAACATAAACTAAAAACTGGAAAAAATTAAATATAAAAATTAAGAACCTAAAAAACTGCAAAACTGAAAAAGTCGATAAATTGAAAAATTTGGAAGTTGACAGACTAAAAAATTAAATAAAATAAAAAATCGGAAAAGTGCAATATCGTAAAAAACGGAAAATGTATTGTAAAATCTAAATATTGAAAATTAAATAAATCTGAAAATCCGAAAACTGGAACTCCAACAATTGCAAAATCGAAAAATCAAATAAAAATTAAAAGAACAAACAACGAAAAATTGTGATACAAAATCGAGAAAATCAAAATTAAAAAAACTGGGAAAGTGAAGAATTAAAATCAAAAACCTAAAACATTCAAAAATCGAAAAATAAAAATTTGTAAAATCTAAAGTTGTAAAACTGAAAAATTGCAAAACGAAAAACTAAAGAATTTGGAAGTCTAGAAATTGGAAAATCGAAAAAATTATCCACTTTAAAAATTGGAAAATCAGGCAACTTAAAAATCAAAAATTGAAAATTTGAAAATGAATAAACGAAAAACTATAAAAGAAAAATTGAAAAAATAAAGGAAATGAAAAATTGTGATATAAAATCGAAAAAACAAACTAAAAACTGGAAAAAATGAAATATAAAAATGAAGAACCTGAAAAACTGCAAAACTGAAAAAACCGATACATTGAAAAATTTGGAAGTCGAAAAACTGAAAAATTAATTAAAAAAAAAATCGAAAAAGTGCAAAATCGTAAAAAACGCAAAATGTATTGTAAAATCTAAATTTTGAAAATTAAAGAAATCTGAAAATTCGAAAAATGTAACTCCAAAAATTGCAAAATCGAAAAATCAAAAAAACAATTAAAGAAATAAAAAACGAAAAATTGTGATACAAATCAAAAAAATCAAAATTAAAAAAATTGGGAAAGTGAAAAAGTGAAGAATTTGGAAGTCGAGAAATTGGAAATTCGAAAAAATGATCCACTTTAAAGATTGGAAAATCAAGCAACTGAAAAATCAAACATTGAAAATTTGAAAATGAATACACGAGAAACTATAAAAGAAAAATAGGAAAAATAAAGGAAGTGAAAAAACGAAAAATGGTGATATAAAATCGAAAAAACATAAACTAAAAACTGGAAAAAATGAAATATAAAAATTAAGAACCTAAAAAACTGCAAAACTGAAAAAGTCGATAAATTGAAAAATTTGGAAGTCGACAGACTAAAAAATTAAATAAAATAAAAAATCGGAAAAGTGCAATATCGTAAAAAACGGAAAATGTATTGTAAAATCTAAATATTGAAAATTAAATAAATCTGAAAATCCGAAAACTGGAACTCCAACAATTGTAAAATCGAAAAATCAAAAAAAAAATTAAAAGAACAAACAACGAAAAGTTGTGATACACAATCGAGAAAATCAAAATCAAAAAAAACCGGGAAAGTGAAGAATTAAAATCAAAAACCTAAAATATTCAAAAATCGAAAAATAAAAATTTGTAAAATTGAAAAATTGCAAAACGAAAAACTAAAGAATTTGGAAGTCTAGAAATTGGAAAATCGAAAAAATTATCCACTTTAAAAATTGGAAAATCAGGCAACTTAAAAATCAAAAATTGAAAATTTGAAAATGAATAAACGAAAAACTATAAAAGAAAAATTGAAAAAATAAAGGTAATGAAAAAACGAAAAATTGTGATACAAAATCGAGAAAATTAAAATAAAAAAATTGGGAAAATGAAAAATAAAAATCAAGGACCTGAAAATTTAAGGAAACGACAAATTGAAAAAGCGCAATACATATTAAAAATGGGAAGCTCAAAATTCAAAACTGGAAAATTGTAAGATCGAAAATTGCAAAATTGAAAAATTGCAAATCGAAAAACTGAAGAATTTGGAAGTCGAGAAATTGGAAAATCGAGAAAATTATCCACTTTAAACATAGGAAAATCAAGCAACTGAAAAATCAAAAATTGAAAATTTGAAAATTTGAAAATGAATAAACAAAAAACTACAAAAGAAAAATTGAAAAAATAAAGCAAATGAAAAAACGAAAAATTGTGATACAAAATCGAGAAAATTAAAATAAAAAAATTGGAAAATCTAAAAAATTATCCACTTTAAAAACTGGAAAATCAAGCAACTGAAAAATCAAAAATTGAAAATTTGAAAATGAATAAACGAAAAACTATAAAAGAAAAATTGAAAAAAACAAAGGAAATGAAAGAACGCAATATTGTGATACAAAATCGAGAAAATTAAAATAAAAATATTGAGAAAATGAAAAATAAAAACCGACAAATTGAAAAAGCGAAATACATATTAAAAATGAGAAACTCAAAATTCAAAACTGATAAATTGTAAAATCGAAAGTTTGAAGAATTTGGAAGTCGAGAAATTGGAAAATCGAAAAAATTGTCCACTTTAAAAATTGGAAAATCAAGCAACTGAAACATCAAAAATTGAAAATTTGAAAATGAATAAACGAAAAACTATAGAAGAAAAATTTTAAAAATAAATGAAATGAAAAAACGAAAAAATCGATAGATTGAAAAATTTGGAAGTCGACAAACTGAAAAATTAAATAAAATAAAAAAACGAAAAATTGTGATATCAGAAACTATTACCATTCTATCAACACCATATATACTGACACCTCACGCATTACGATTTAAGTATAAAAAATATATTTGCCTCGCTCTTGCTCCACTGTCCCAAAATAAATTTTCATTAATATTGATACAGCCAGTGAACATGTCCACACATAGGTCCATAAGGGAAACTTAACCACTTCCATTTCCCTTGAAACGAACTCGCCCACCTCATCTTATTGACCACTATTTTTAAACCCTTGTGTGGGTGAACACGTAAATGTAAAAGTCCACTCGGACGTTTCAGCGTCATGATAATTTTCATAAACCCGGACTTGACATATTTCCGCCGACACATGTACATACTTGAAGTCCTTTCAGTCCTCAAAGGACTAAATTCGCTCTAATTTGCTTCTCGTGTCCACCCACAATCGGTCGTAATTTGTGTTATCTTCACCCGTTAAGCTCCGAAGTGCACAACCGGATCGCGTGCAAGCTCTCAGAAATCTTAGAATGTGTTAAATATGCAAACTGCTAATGTCCATACTTTGCACTTCGTTTTTGTTATCGCAAATCCGGTCACGTTCTAACTGCACTTTTTATTTATTTTAGTTCCAGAGCGGTTAAATTGTGTGCTAAATTATAAGCTGAGCTTTGACAGCCGAAACCGCGTTTTCCCTTCGAAGCTTTAATATTCTTCGTTTGCCATAAATATAGAGTCGGCATGGGAGATAGGGTGGAAATACGATTTTTATTTTTTTGGTGAGTTTTACCGGTTTTTTATGGCGAAATATGACTTATTAAGGAGCGTTTGGGGCGAAATCAATAGACGCTGCGAAACATAACATTGTAGAAAAAATTTAATTCCGAGGTAGAACCCCGATATATTTTTTTAATTTAGTTATTTTGTTGCAGCCCACGGCAACCCCCACCATGGACTTCTCCCCCACCCCCTAGCCAAAATGCAGACTATGATCGTCTTGGACAAGCCTTCGACCGAAGCCAACTCCACATTCTTCCACCACGAAAACACCACCTTCTACAAGTCCACCCTCCACGAAATCAGCACTAAGCCGTCCTCCGCCCTCAACAGCAGCGACTGGGGCCCGAAACGCGATCCCCTCTCCATCGTCATCCCCATCACCGTCATCTACACCCTCACTTTCGTCAGCGGGGTGGTCGGCAACGTCAGCACTTGCATCGTCATCGCCCGCAACAAATCCATGCACACCGCCACCAACTACTACCTCTTCAGCCTCGCCATCTCCGACCTGCTCCTCCTGGTGTCGGGTCTGCCCCCCGAGATCTACTCCATATGGTCCAAGTACCCCTACGTCTTCGGCGAAGCCTTCTGCGTCATGCAGGGCTTCGCAGCCGAGACTTCCGCCAACGCCACTGTGTTGACCATCACGGCCTTTACGGTCGAGAGATACCTGGCGATTTGCCACCCCTTCCTGTCACACACGCTGTCCAAACTGAACCGCGCCATCAAGTTCATCATCGCGATTTGGATGGTGGCCATGTGTCTGGCCATACCTCAAGCCATGGCATTTGGCGTGGTGTACGAGACTCTGGCCGATGGGAGCTTGGTTGAAGATCACTGTGTCTGCATGGTGAAGCGACTAGTCATACCACACGCTTTCGAAATTTCCACGTTCTTGTTTTTCGTGGGGCCCATGTCTCTGATTACGGTGCTGTACGTGTTGATCGGGCTGCAGCTGCACAAGTCGACGGTGCGGCCCTCGAGGGGTAATAGTGTGAAGCTGAAGCACAGGGTGTACAAGCAGATTAATCCGGCTCTGGCCAATGGGGATGCTGGAGAGAAGACTGTGGAGGAGGAGGGGAGGAAGAATTTCGCCAAGAATGCACAGGCGACGAAGCACGTGGTGAAAATGCTGAGTAAGTAAATTTGCATTTTTAACTTTATGTTGTTTAGAAATGAAATTAAAAATTTATTTTGTAACTGTAGCCCCAAATTCTATTACACATTGAACAAAAAAAATTTGCGTTTTTCTACAGAGTCGTATGAAGAAGCGGTGGCCCGCCCACCCGCCCCCTCTTGAGTCTAATGACTACTTTTAATACTGTTAATTGATGACAATATTATTATCTCTGATGCTCCTCCCACTCGCACAAGCCCCACCTTAATAAATCATTTCATTCAAAATTTGATTAAAAACATGGGGTCCTAAATACTGTTATTTGTTAATATCAAATTCAACTTCCAACTTTCGTCTTCAAGCCAATTAAATAAGTTATGAAAGCGGAGTAGGGGTGGGTGGGCGGGTCAACTTATGACATTGATTTAAATCTTAGATTCTACCACTTGTCATACCAGAATTCAATTCAGATTTTACAGTAAATAAAATGTTAAAGCAATGAAATGGGAAGGAAGATGGGCGGAGCTAAGTCTACATTTCTTGTACATAGTTTTATAAAAAGAAATAGCCCCGCCCACCCGCCCCACTCTTGTTTCTAGTTACTACTCGTAATATTGTTAATTATTAACCTCTATATTATCTTATTGGAATCTCAGACAAATCTATTAAACCACCGATGAGGAAATAGATAAAAATTGCAAACAAAATATCCAGAAAATATTAACCTGGTGTTAAATAAACATTTCAGAAGTGAGAATTATATTCAAAAAGCCATGAAACTGATGCTCCTCCCACTGGAATTAGCTCCACCTTAATAAATCATTTCATTGGCTCGGAGAAGAAAGGTGACTTTTATGGATAAGATATACCAGAGTGTGTCTACTTTCTAAGATTTTTAAATGTTTCTATCTAAACACTGACGGTTAACTCGTTTTTCGAATAAAAATTAAAAGCTTATAAAAAAAATTCTACTGGATTCTGTTATTTATTAACAACACTCAACTTACATCTTAGAGCCAATAAAACGGGTCATCAAAAGGAAGTAAGGGTGGGTGGGCGGGGTCACTTTTGAAATTGCTTTAAATATTAGATTATTACCACTTGTCATACGAAACTCAGTACACATTTTACAGTAAATAAAATGTTAAAGCAATGAAATGCAGAAGGAAGATGGGTGGAGCCAAGTTTACATTTCTTCTACATTGTCTTACAAGCAAAAAATAGCCCCGCCCACCCGCCCCAGTCTTGTACTTAGGGACCAATCTTAATATTGCTAATTAATGACAAACTATTTTATCTTCTTGGAATCTCAGAAAAATCTGTTAAACCACTAGTGAGGAAATAGATAAAAATGGTAATTAAAGTGTCTAGAAAATATTAAATCGGTCTTAAATAAACATAACAAAAGTGGGAAAAAGAAATGCCACTAATTCTCCTCCCACACGCACTAGCTCCACCTTAATAAATCATTTCATTGGCTTGGATAAGAAGGGTGGCGTCCATAGATATACCAGAGTGTGTCTACTTTCTAAGATTTTTAAATGTTTCTATCTAAACACTGAAGGTTAAGTCGTTTTACGAATAAAAATTAAAAGTTTATAAAAAAAATTGTACTGGATTCTGTTATTTGTGAATAATATTCAACTTAAGTCTTAGAGCCAATAAAACGGGTCATCAAAACTGAGTACGGGTGGGTGGGCGGGGTCACTTTTGAATTTGCTTTAAGTATTAGATTCTACCACTTGTCATACCAGAACTCAGATCCAATTTTGCAGTGAATAAACTGTTAAGGCAATGAAATGGAGAAGGAAGATGGGCGGAGCTAAGTTTACATTTCTTCGGCATAGTCTTACAAGCAAAAAATGGCCCCGCCCACCCGCCCAAGTCTTGTTCTTAGGGATTATTCTTAATATTGCTAATTAATGGCAAACTATTTTTTCGTGTTGGAATCTCAGAAAAATCTGTTAAACCACTGGTGAGGAAATAGATAAAAATGGTAATTAAAGTGTCCAGAAAATATTAAATTGGTCTTAAATAAACATAACAAAAGTGAAAAAAAGAAATATCACCAATTCTCCTCCCTCTCGCACTAGCTCCACCTTAATAAATCATTTCATTGGCTCGGAGAAGAAAGGTGGCGTTTGTAGATAAGATATACCACAGTGTGTCTACTTTCTAAGATTTTTAAATGTTTCTATCTAAACACTGAAGGATAAGTCGTTTTTCGAATAAAAATTAAAAGTTTATAAAAAAAAATTTTACTGGATACTGTTATTTGTCAATAAAATTCAACTTACGTCTTAGAGCCACTCGAACGGGTCATCAACACGGACTAGAGGTGGGTGGGCGGTGTCACTTTAGAATTTGCTTTAAGTATTTGATTCTACCACTTGTCATACCAGAATTCAGATTCCATTTTGCAGTAAATAAACTGTTAAGCCAATGAAATGGCGAAGGAAGATGGGCGGAGCTAAGTTTACATTTTTTCTACATAGTCTTACAAGCAAAAATTAGCCCCGCCCACCCGCCCCAGTCTTGTTCGTAGGGACTACTATTAATATTGATAATTAATGACAAACTATTTTATCTTCTTGAAATCTCAGAAAAATCTGTTGAACCACTGGTGAGGAAATAGATAAAAATGGTAATTAAAGTGTCCAGAAAATATTAAATTGGCCTTAAATAAACATAACAAAAGTGGGAAAAAGAAATGTCACTAATTCTCCTCCCACTCGCACTAGCTCCACCTTAATAAATCATTTCATTGGCTCAGAGAAGGAAGGTGGCATTTATAGATAAGATATAACAGAGTGTGTCTACTTTGTAAGATTTTTAAATGTTTCTATCTAACCACTGACGGTTAAGTTCTCTTTCGAATAAAAATTTAAAGTAAATTGTACTGGATTCTGTTATTTGTCAATAACAATCAACTTACGTCTTAGAGCCAATAAAACGGGTCATCAAACGGAGTAGGGGTGGGTGGGCGGGGTCACTTTTGAATTTGTTTTAAGTATTGGATTCTACCACTTGTCATACCAGAACTCAGATCCAATTTTGCAGTGAATAAACTGTTAAGGCAATGAAATGGAGAAGGAAGATGGGCAGAGCTAAGTTTACATTTCTTCTACATAGCCTTACAAGCAAAAAATAGCCCCGCCCACCCGCCCCAGTCTTGTTCTTAGGGACCAATCTTAATATTGCTAATTAATGACAAACTATTTTATCCTCTTGGAATCTCAGAAAAAACTGTTAAACCACTGGTGAGGAAATAGATAAAAATGGTAATTAAACTGTCCAGAAAATATTAAATTGGTCTTCAATAAACATAACAAAAGTGAGAAAAAGAAATATCACCAATTCCCCTCCCTCTAGCACTTGCTCCACCTTAATAAATCATTTCATTGGCTCGGAGAAGAAAGGTGGCGTTTATAGATAAGATATACCAGAGTGTGTCTACTTTCTAAGATTTTTAAATGTTTCTATCTAAACACTGACGGTTAAGTCGTTTTTTGAGTAAAAATTAAAAGTTTATAAATACAAATTGTACTGGATTCTGTTATTTTAAAAAAAAATTCAACTTACGTCTTAGAGCCAATAAAATGGGTCATCAAAACGGAGTAGGGGTGGGTGGGCGGGGTCACTGTTGAATTTGCTTTAAACATTAGATTATTACCACTTGTCATTCCAAACTCAGTACAAATTTTACAATAAATAAAATGTTAAAGCAATGAAATGCAGAAGGAAGATGGGTGGAGCTAAGTTTACATTAATTCTACATAGTCTTACAAGCAAAAAATAGCCCCCCCCACCCGCCCCAGTCTTGTTCTTAGGGACTACTCTTAATATTGCTAATTAATGACAAACTATTTTATCTTCTTGGAATATCAGAAAATCTGTTACACCACTGGTGAGGAAATAGATAAAAATGGTAATTAAAGTGTCCAGAAAATATTAAACTGATCTTAAATAAACATAACAAAAGTGGGAAAAAGAAATGTCACTAATTCCCCTCCCACTCGCACTAGTTCCACCTTAATAAATCATTTCATTGGCTCGGAGAAGCGAGGTGGCGTTTATGGATATGATATACCAAAGTGTGTCTACTTTCTAAGACTTTTAAATGTTTCTATCTAAACACTGAAAGTTAAGTCGTTTTTAGAACAAAAATTAAAAGTTTATAAAAACAATTATACTGGATTCTGTTATTTGTCCATAACATTCAACTTACGTCTTAGAGCTAATAAAACGGGTCCTCAAAACGGACTAGGGGTGGGTGGGCGGGGTCATTTTTGACTTTGATTTAAATCTTAAATTGTACCACTTGTCATACCAGAATTGAGTTCCCATTTTGCAGTAAATAAAATGTTAATACAATGAAATGGAGAAGGAAAATGGGCGGAGCTAAGTCTACATTTATTCTACATAGTCTACAAGCAAGAAATAGTCCCCCCCCCACCCGCCCCAGTCTTGTTCTTACGTACTACTCTTAATATTGCTAATTAATGACAAACTATTTTATCTTCTTGGAATCTCAGAAAATCTGTTACACCACTGGTGAGGAAATAGATGAAAATGGTAATTAAAGTGTCCAGAAAATATTAAATTGATCTTAAATAAACATAACAAAAGTGGGAAAAGGAAATGTCACTAATTCTCCTCCCACTATCACTAGTTCCACCTTAATAAATCATTTCATTGGCTAGGAGAAGAAAGGTGGCGTTTGTAGATAAGACATACCAGAGTGTGTCTACTTTCTAAGATTTTTAATGTTTCTATCTAAACACTGACGATTAAGTCGTTTTTTGAGTAAAAATTAAAAGTTTATAAATAAAAATTGAACTGGATTCTGTTATTTTTCAAAAAAATTCAACTTACGTCTAAGAGCCAATAAAATGGGTCATCAAAACGGAGTAGTGGTGGGTGGGCGGGGTCACTGTTGAATTTGCTTTAAACATTAGATTATTACCACTTGTCATACGAAAGTCAGTACACATTTTACAGTAAATAAAATGTTAAAGC